AGTGGTCCAGAGAGATAAAAAAACATTCCTGCAAATCTGAATTGCAGAATTCAATCGCCAGGACAAAGACAGTAGAATGAGGTTTCTGAAAACTACCATCCAATCATATGTATGCCCACATACATAGAGTCAATAGATATATAAATAAATAAGATTATCAACAACAGGCTTATAATCATAATAATTCCTCTTTGTATTTGCTCTTCTACACTACTATATCATCACTTTCATGACTTAATATTCTTTTAATTTCTCCTTTTTTTAACAGTGATATTTTTAATTATCCCTTCTGTTGAAAATCCCAATATCCCATTTGGCCCCATACTAGCTAATTAAAACCTCTAGAAAACATAGAGACTAAAATCTTAAAAGCTAGCATCCATAAATTTGAGAAAATATGCAGCATTTGTCTTTCTGGATTAAGTTACTTAGTATAATTCTTCTCAGTTTTATCCATTTACCTACAATATGTATAATATCAAAAACAAATGAGTGAATTTCTTAGCATAGAACCTAACAAAGATAAATCAAATGACATAAATAATTTATCATGTCACATGTTTTTAAGTTGAACAGAAGGAACAACAACAACAAAAAACTCAACTTAAGAAAGCCAGATCAATTCAGGAAAGAATCCCTCCAGATAATTAAAGAAAAACTAACACCAATACATTTGCAATTATAAGACAAAATGGAAAATTTCCATTTCAAGAAAACATAAAAATAATTGTCTACTAGGATCAAGGTGGCTTCACCAAAGAGATGCTAATGAGAATCAATGTGAGTAAATCAATGTATGTAATACATTAGAAGAACAGTCTATGAGAGCCCAAATGATCTCTTCATTAAATTCAGAAAAGGCTTTTGAAAAACACACCACTTCATTATAAAATTCAACAGTAGGAGGAACACATCTACATATAATAGAATATGTTTATTACAAGTAATTACCAACATAAACATTTTAAATGGAGAAAGCTCAAAACAGTTCTTCGATAAATGGGAAAATAAAGGATGCTCACTCTCTCCATATATATTATATGTTATGCTTGAAGACTTATGTGTCAGTCTAAGATGATATGACATTCAAGGGGATACAGGTAGGAACAGAAATGTCATAGTATCTACATTATACACAATATGTATTTTATACCAGAAAATTTAAATCAAAATTCTTATGCTTGGTGCTAAAGTTATTGCTAGTCTATCTTTCACCTATTGTACTGACTTTCCTTCCCTCATAACTGAAAATTTTTCCAAAATTTTTGTTTCCCAATTCATAGTGTCCCTCTATCTCAAATCTCTAATCAAAGAATGATAGACACCTATTGAATGCTGTGACAAGGAGAATTGCCATCTACCATGGGTTATCCCTGTTAGTGCTTGTCTAATGCAAACTGGTGAGACCTGAAATGATATAATCATTAACAATAAAGCTGGACTAACATTCTGAAGTTATATATTTTATATGTATACTTGAAAAAATATATACATAAATATGTAACTGTAACAATTATCAACTGGAGGTTTTATTATTGATTTGAGGATATGGGTGGAGTTGGAGGGAAAGTGGCAGGGATAATGTTAAAATGAAATTATATAATTATGCCGGGCGATGGTGGCGCACGCCTTTAATCCCAGCACTCGGGAGGCAGAGCCAGGCGGATCTCTGTGAGTTCGAGGCCAGCCTGGTCTCCAAAGCGAGTTCCAGGAAAGGCGCAAAGCTACACAGAGAAACCCTGTCTCGAAAAACCAAAAAAAAAAAAAAAAAAAAAAAAAAAAAGAAATTATATAATTATATTTAAAATAATTTACACTTAAAATTTTTTTTAATTTCACATGTAAACTCTGAGTTATGATATTTTACTTTGAAATAGACTTCTACCTTCCAGTCTACTTTGAAAATATAAATTTTATTCAGTAGGCCTTTAATCATTGTGGTGCTTTTGGGAGGACAGAGTTTCTCTGTGTAACTGCCCTGGCTGTCCAGTAACTTACTCTGTAGTCCAGGCTGTCTAGGAATTCACAGAGATTTGCCGGCTTCTGTCCCCAGAGTTCTGAGAATAAAACCTCTGTGTCCTGAGTGCTGGGACTAAAGGCATGTGCCACCACTGTCCAGTGTGGTTTTTTGTGTTTTTGAATAGAAACTTATTAGAGATCTAAGACTTTTTGCAAAATACAGATTCTAAAACACTCTGGCCACCATTCATAGTCTGCATTCAAGTCAGTGAAGAACACTTTAAGAAAAAGTCAGACTATGATTCATATCGAAGGGTCATCTGGGATGTTGCTATCAGTTAGGTAAACTAGGAGAGGACATAGTGAGGTCAAGATCAAGGTCTGCTTAGCTGACAACTAGTTTTACAGGGGAGAAACCCATCCATCTTAATGTTGCAAAGGGCAACTTGGCCTAATTGACTCTATTGGCATTTTTTTTATTGCATGGACATATAATTTGCTTTTCTCACCTTTCCTCTTTTTTGAGACAGGGTCTGTAACCATGTAGCCCTGGTTGGCCAGGAACTGAATATGTAGATCAGGATGGCCTCATAACCATAGAGAATCACCTGCCTCTGCCTTTCAAATGCTGAGATGAAAGGCAAGTCTTTTTATCAATTTAAGATATTCTTAGGCAACTGAAAAATTGAGAGACCTATAGATAGACTGAGTGTCACTCTATTGGAGAAAAGTTATGTTGTGTCTCAGTATGTTAAGTGACAGTTCACTTGTTCACATGTAAAATAGTGGTTTGGTTTAATTCAATCTTTGATTATTTTTAAATATAACAAAATTAATTCTTATAAGATTAAATCTATCATATTGGAGTTTTACAAGACAAAAAAACACAACAGAACCAAAAAAGTAAAAGAATAGACAGAATAATCAAAGATCAACTCATTGTCATGCTCAATAATCCCATAAAACCCTTAAACCAGAAGCCATAATTTTTACACAGAAAATTTGAATGAACCTGTGCAGTCCCTGTGTTTGTTGCTTCATTCTATCTGAGTTCATATGAAATTCCCCCATGTTAATTTAGAGGGCCTTGTTTTCTTGATATTTTCCATCCATGTGGCTCTTATACTATCTCCACCTCCTCTTCTGCAGGGTTTCCTGAGCTATGGAGGGGAGGTATTTGATAGAATGATCTCATTTAGAGTTGATTGTTCAAGGTCTCTGACTCACTGTAGAATTTCTGGCAGTATGTCTATATATTTTTGTATATTCTTTAGGAGAAATCTTCCCTGATAACATGTAAACAACACACTGACCTATGAGTATTGCAGAATGTCATGAGGAGTCATTTTATTGCTACAATTTCTTTCTTTAGATAAGTAGTATGTTGTTTTATCCTAATCCCATGGGCTTTATAGCATCAAGTTTATGGTCATTTAAGAAATGTCAGAAATGGGCAGTGGTGGTGCACACCTTTAATCCCAGCACTCGGGAGGCAGAGCCAGGCGGATCTCTGTGAGTTCGAGGCCAGCCTGGGCTACCAAGTGAGTTCCAGGAAAAGGCGCAAAGCTACACAGAGAAACCCTGTCTCAAAAAAAACCAAAAAAAAAAAAAAAGAAAAAGAAAAAAAGAAATGTCAGGTATGGTATCCATCTGGAGAAATGGCCTTAATTCAAATCTATTATTGGTTACTTGCTCCATCAATATTTGTTCCACCTTTGTCCTACCTTATCTTGCTGGCAGAACACCATTGAAGATAAAGGCTGTTTGGGCTGAGTTGGCATATGTTTCTGTTTAAAATGCAGACATTATTCTTCTACCAAAGAAAATAGGGGTTTAGTGCTCTCTGTAGGCACTAGGCCTATGTCTTAATTTTCAATGATTTATATCATTATTGTCTTCAGTAATTAAACTTTATTTTCAGTTCACTGAGAGGAAGGGGTAGAACTGGCAAATGCCATGCATGTTTGGGTATATACTTTGGTCTACAGCGCTAACATTCAATTATTTGGAACAATTTTTATACTGAAATCTGTTTTAGATTATAAAAGAGAGATATTTTCGACTCTGATTCCCCTATTATTTAGCAATTTTTTTTATATCTTTCATGTATATTTCTGGAAGTTCCTACTAAATTTGGTTTCAATGCTACACCTCAAATGCCCATTACTTTTATCAGTCTCAACCTGTACCCCTGCCTAGAACCCCATCTCTATTCACCCTGAACTATCTATTCATACTTGTTTATTCTATTTCCCTTCCTGAAGAATATATATCTGTTTCATTCCTCTTGTGCTTCTACACATTGTAGCTTTGTTATCATTGTCTTCATGGCTCTTATCCACTAATAAGTAGACCATGAGTGAGTAGAGTCAATGGCAGAATGTCTGATAAAGGTCTGAGGATGAGATTGGGAGACAGGACATGGGGGCATGGATGCAGAATAGATAATGTGCAACTAGTGTCTTGGCTTCTCTGATAAGGATGGCCTCTGTTTGAAGAGAATTACTGCTGGAGTTTCAAATAGGAACAAAGCAATGAATTATGAGATGAAAATTTGGATGGGGAAATCTGTGTGATCCTTTTTAGATTAGTGCAGGAGGGAAGAAATGTCTTCAGAAGTTGTTGTGTTTTCTTCCAGATCTGGGGATCAGTTTTGGGGGATAGATTTAGAAGAGCAGAGAAAAAGGTGAAAATCAGCAATTTGCCTCCCTGCTTCCCTTCCCAGATGGGATCCCGGGTCTTTGTTTCTGCTGGATTTGTAGTGTGGACAATGCAATCAGAAATAGAAGGATGGTTCAGCGGTGGCTTGTGGGATACTCTGACATAGGGAAGTATGAGGCTGCTGCAGTTCTGCTACAGAGCTTGGGATGAATCTATTACATTGGACTTAAAGAGCCATGATGAGAGGTGAAGTCCTGGAGTTTACTTCTTACCTGGCAGGAGGGGCTCTGGAGTTCCAGGGAATTCCTGCCAGAGTTGGGTGCTGAGATCAAGAAAGGTTGTGAAAAATGGTGTTAGAATTGGAAGATGTGTTTTAACCAATGGAGATGAAATTACAGGCAGCAGGGAACCTGCAGCAGGCCATTTTATCAGAGCTGGAGATGGTACTGTGGGATTGGATTAAGAAAAGAAAATGTTGAGGTGAAGGTCTGCAGTTAGGATATCTGCTGTCCTGGCCGGAGTTGCCTGTCAGTCTTAAATACTGTTTCCTGTCTCTTGTTTTCTATGGGTATGCATGTTATGAATCATTTCATACCTTCTAATTCATAAAAAAATCCTGTCTCCTTCAATTATAGCAGGTTTGCTTACTACTGTTGTCAGTATAGGCCCTTATTCTCTTTAGAATTGCACTGTCCCTGGCTCTTTGGGTTAGTACCTTCTCCTCTGAAATCAGCTATTATTCTAATGGGCTTTTCTTTATTTTTTTTTTAACTTTGCAATACAATTCAGTTCTACATATCAGCCACGGATTCCCTTGTTCTCCCCCCTCCGGCCCCCCTCACCTTCCCCCCAGCCCACCCCCCATTCCCATCTCCTCCAGGGCAAAGCCTTCCCCACAGACTGAGGTCAACCTGGTAGACTCAGTCCAAGTAGGTCTAGTCCCCTCCTCCCAGGCCGAGCCAAACAATCCTGCATAGGCCCCAGGTTTCAAACAGCCAACTCATGCAATGAGCACAGGACCCGGTCCCACTGCCTGGATGCCTCCCAAACAGATCAAGCCAATCAACTGTCTCACCCATTCGGAGGGTCTGATCCAGTGGGGACCCCTCAGCCATTGGTTCATAGTTCATGTGTTTCCATTCATTTGGCTATTTGTCCCTGTGCTTTATCCAACCTTGGTCTCAACAATTCTCGCTCATATAAACCCTGAAGACATCTTATGCTGGAGAGGATGTGGAGTTAGGGGAACTCTCCTCCACTACTGGTGGGAATGCAAGCTTGTACAACCACTTTGGAAATCAATATGGTGCTTTCTTAGAAAATTGGGAATCCATCTCCCCCAAGATCCAGCTATACCACCCTTGGGCATATACCCAAGGAATGCTAAACCACACCATAAGAGCACTTGTTCAGCTATGTTCATATCAGCATTGTTTGTAATAGCCAGAACATGGAAACAACCTAGATGCCCTTCAACTGAAGAATGGATAAACAAAATGTGGTACTTATACACAATGGAATACTACTCAGCAGAGAAAAACAATGACATCATGAGGTTTGCAGACAAATGGATGGATCTAGAAAAAATCATCCTGAGTGAGGTAACCCAGACTCAGAAAGACAAACATGGTATGTACTCACTCATAGCAGGATACTAGACATGAAACAAGGATGACTTGTCTGCTACTCACATCACCAGGAAGGCTACCTGGAAAACAGGACTCCAAGAAAGACACAGGGATCGCCCAATGACAGAGAAATGGAATGAGATCTACATGAACAGCCTGGACATGAGTGGGGGTAATGAAAGGTGAGGGTCGAGGGAAAGAGAGCTTGGGGGAGCAGGAGATCCCAGCTGGATCAACAACAGAGAGGGAGAACAAGGAATAGGAGACCATGGTAAATGAAGACCACATGAGAATAGGAAGAAGCAAAGTGCTAGAGAGGCCCACAGAAATCCACAAAGATACCCACACAACAGACTGCTGGCAATGGTCGAGAGACAGCCCGAACTGACCTACTCTGGTGATGGGATGGCCAAACACCCTAATTGTTGTGCTAGAAACCTCATCCAACTACTGAGGTATCTGGATGCAGAGATCCATGACTAGGCCCTGGGTGGATCTCTGGGAGTCCAATTAGCGGGCTTTTCTTTATATGAGACATTTAATTCCCTTTGTCATATTTTATTTTTTTATAATTTATTTACTTTTATTTTATGTGCATTGATGTGAAGGTGTCAGATCTCCTGGAACTGGAGTTACAGAGAGCTGTGAACTGCCATGTGGGGGCTGGGAATGGAACCTGGGTACTCTAGAAAAGCAGCCAGTGCTCTTAAGCACTGTGCCATCACTCCAGCACTGCCTTCATGTTTTAATGCATTTGTTTTGTTTTGTATATTAACTAGGGCTTGCTGTGTGGTATTTCTCTTTATATTTTTGCCTATTTTGTGTTGTGAATGTTTCCATTATCTGAAATGTTATGACTTTCTTGAGTTTGGCAAATTTGTCTTTCATGATCTTGGGGAAGATTTTATCTATGCCATTGAGGTAAGATTCTTTTCATATATATATATATATATACACATAAATGTATATGTATATATATATATTCACATTGCTATGGTGTTGATCATTTCTTGTGCAATTTTTTAGTGCTATATTTAAATATACAAATATATATGTGTGTGTTTCTGATATGCAGTTAAATTAGTTTTTTTGTTTTTATTAAGTTTTGATATTATATTTGACTTTTTTCTCTCTTATTTATAAAGATTTATCTTGACTTTTCTAATTAGTTTCCTGTAACAACTTCAATTTAGACTGAGTTCTCATCAATAAATCTATACTTTTTTTTTGAATTTTCTTGAGACTGGACTGTCTTCATTTATGTCTCTGTGGTCTCTTACATCACTCAGGTTTTTTAGGTTCTCCTCATTAATTTTATTGGGCTGTTTGTCTTTGTCTAATTTAAGCACTTTGACTACTTTTATAGTGTTCATGATCGTTCTTCCATCTTCTGTATCATGGTAATTATGGACTGCAGAATACTTATATGAGACAGATAGACTTTGGGGCTGGGGTAAAATGCTGGCTTTATTCTTTATATTCTATGTGTAATTTTCTATCATTTTGATTAAACACCATTACCAGGAAAATGTGTAAAACTCAGAGTTTCATTGGGCTTAAGGTAACATGAGAATAAGACTCCATTATGCCACAGGATGAAGTCAAGAGGCAGTAAATGTGGTAGAAAGAACAGATATGGTTCAAATATCAAATTTCAAGCAAGCACCAGAAAGGAAACTAAAGATAGTTTGTATTTCTTATACTTCAAGGTCCTAACTCAGTCCTACCTTTTATACATTAAGCCATACTGCGAGTCAAATAATGTGGCTACATGAAAACAAAGTTGTCAAGTGTGTGACCTTTAGGGAACATTGTTATTCAAGCTAGCATATGTAGTGATCACATTCTGTGATCTTGTGATCAAAATTGGCCCGGTGAACTATTTTGTAATTTATGTCTTCTATGCACAAAGAAGACTTAAGAGACCACACTAAGTACATGGAAGCTTATTGTGTAGGCTAGATATAGAATCGGTGGTGGGGTGTCAAGCAGGCACAGGACCTGGGCAAAATTGCAAGAATGGCATCCAATTATAAGGGTGAGTATAGGAGTATTCTGGACAGAGATAATCCATCTAGGTGTGGGCACATCAGATAAAATATAGATTAGAACCTGGGATTGGTGAGGGTATGTGAATGAGGGGATATTGTGGAACCACCAATCTGAGATCAAGTATAAAATGTATGTCACTAGACTGGGATCAAAAGTGCTGATGACTTGCATGAAGGAGAATTGGGAAGTATTCTATGCTCCCTTGTTAGGGACAGAAGAAAGCCAGGGTCCTTCATAATGTTTGTAAGAGTTAGCAGTACAGGTTGTAGTTTTTATCTTGATCATGTGTTCAGGAAATGACACAGAGTTTATTATTTATGCATTTGTTGCATGTGGATGAGAGAATATGTTGGCATGGACTTACTTGCTCACTCTTGTGTGGGACAGTAATAATTCAGAGTGGATGACTGCCATGATTGACCAGGTTCTGGTGTATGCCTACAGAAGGGATGAGGGGCATGCTGTCTTTGTGGGAGAAAATGAGTTGTGATGCAATCCAGGTTGTCCTGTTAAGTAAAAAGGAAAAAAGTGGATGTTCCCAAGGAGGAGTAGAGTCAACAAAAAAACTGTGATTTCTTGGACTATGATTTTGTAAGCAGAAAGAATCATAGCAAGAAATATAATAGACATGTTTCCAATTTACATGGCAAGTGGGAAAGAGCTTCAATTTTTTTGCCCAAAATTGTTGTGTAAGTTTGCCTGTTATATGACTTCACAAAGACCAAACATTCCATGGATTACACTCATTTTTCATAAGCACATTTAGTTCCTACAGTCAAACTTAGAAAATTTCCTACTATACAGCCTTGATATGTTCCACAAACTGCTGTTCTTTTATGCATTATATTCTCATATTGTTTTCAAATCATTGTACGAATTAAGAGTTTGTTTGTTTTAATTTTTCCAGATCTGTCATATTACCAGACTCAGGAGGTTTTTCAACAGAAGTACAAACAAGATTCTTTACAGGAACAAAGAGCAGGCTTAGGTGAAAATTGTGGTCTTGACGTGTTACATACAAGGAAATTCTGGAATTATCATGGTTACAAGAGAGACTATAAATTATGTTTCAAAGAGAATTATGTTTTCGAAAAAAATACCAAAGGTATTAGTTATGAAAAACATCAAGAACCCCTAGTGTGTCCAAGGAGAGCACACTCTATGTCAGTTACAAGTTCAGAACCAAGTGATTATATGGAAAAATATTTGCACCATGCATGGACACCTGGCTATACTCTACATGGGTATGTGAAAACTTCACAAAGGGACCCACAGTGTAATAGTTCAAATTCTTTGCAATATTTTTCAAGTGTGGTGGGATTAAATGGTACTCAAAAAGTCCCTGAAGAAAGGAATGTTTTAAGCACAGAAAATTATTTAAATCATCAGCAGTATGCTACTTCCTCTACTCAGAATTCAGTAGATTTTCCTGAACAATTACTTCCACTGTGTGAAAATTTCTACAATTTAGATCAACATAAATATTTTAAGAATAAAATGTGGCATACTATGTACCATAGGGAAAGTACTTTTCAAAATTCCTATATACTTAGTGATGATAATAATGACCTTGCTAAGTTTTCTTTGCTAAATAATTACCAGAATATTCAGTTTGAAATACCTTTTAATGACAAGGACCCATGGACTTACTCTACTGATGACACAATTCCTAAAAATTCTCAGATAAATACTTGCTTGACAGTTAATGATTCTGAAAACCATGCACATCCAAAGATTTTTGATAAGTACTCAAAGACTTCTTTGCACCAACATGACCATATCAAAGAGAAGCATTGGACAAACAATCAAAAAGACCAAATTCATTATGAATTCTCAAACTGTACTCAGTATAATGGAACTAATACTCAAGATATTTATGAGAGACAAACAGATGATGCATATATGAAGGTCACAATTGAATCCTCACATCTAGAGATGAATAATATAAAGCACAGTGGAACAAAATTTTGCCAGGTTAAAGACTGTGATGAGTTTTTTGATATTAATTCAAATATAACTGAAAATGATTCAAGTCACACTGCAGAAGAGAAACCATACAGATGTAATGTGTGTGGAAAGTCCTATAACAAACTCTCATACCTTCACATTCATCACCAAATCTATACTAGAGAGAAACCTTATATATGTGATGAATGTGAAAAGTACTTTGTCCAGTCCTCCAATCTTCAATGTCACAAGAGAATCCATATTGGAGAAAAGCCTTATAAATGTGATGAATGTGGAAAGTGCTTTAGGCATGGCTCAACTCTTTGTGTTCATTGGAGAATCCATACTGGAGAGAAACCTTATAAATGTGATGAATGTGGAAAGTCCTTTGTCTGGTCCTACAAACTTCAATGTCATTGGAAAATCCATACTGGAAAGAAACCTTATAAATGTGATAAATGTGGAAAGTCCTTTGTCCAGTCCTCCAAACTTCAATGTCATAGGAAAATCCATACTGGAGTGAAACCTTTTAAATGTGATGAATGTGGAAAATCCTTTGTCCAATCCTCTAAACTTCAATGTCATAGGAGAATCCATACTGGAGAGAAACCTTATAAATGTGATGAATGTGGAAAGTGCTTTAGAATTGTCTCATCTCTTCATGTTCATCACAAAATTCATACTGGAGAGAAATCTTATAAATGTGATGAGTGTGGAATGTCCTTTGTCCAATCCTATAAACTTCAATGTCATAGGAGAATCCATACTGGAGAGAAACCTTATAAATGTGATGAATGTGGAAAGTGCTTTAGAATTTTCTCATCTCTTCATGTTCATCACAAAATCCATACTGGAGAGAAACCTTATAAATGTGATAAATGTGGAAAGTCCTTTATCCAGTCCTCCAATCTTCAATGCCATAGGAAAATCCATACTGGAGAGAAACCTTATAAATGTGATGAATGTGGAAAGTCCTTTGTCCAATCCTCTAAACTTCAATGTCATAGGAGAATCCATACTGGAGAAAAACCTTATAAGTGTGATGAATGTGGAAAGTGCTTTAGAGTTGTCTCATCTCTTCATGTTCATCAGAGAATCCATACTGGAAAGAAACCTTATAAATGTAATGAATGTGGAAAGTACTTTGCCCAATCATCCAATCTTCAACGTCAAAAGAGAATCCATACTGGAGAGAAACCTTATAAATGTAATGAATGTGGAAAGTCCTTTGTCCATTCATCTAATCTTCAACGTCACAAGAGAATCCATACTGGAGAAAAGCCTTATAAATGTGATGAATGTGGAAAGTCCTTTGTCCAGTCCTCCAATCTTCAATATCACAAGAGAATCCATATTAAAGAAAAGCCTTATAAATGTGAAGAATGTGAAAAATTCTTTAGGGATGGCTCATCTCTTTGTGCTCATCAGAGAATCCATAATGGAGAGAAACCGTATAAATGTAATGAATGTGGAAAATCCTTTGTCCAGTCCTCCAAACTTCAATACCATAGAAGAATCCATGCTGGAGAGAAGCCTTATAAATGTAATGACTGTGGAAAGTGCTTTAGAGATGACTCATCTCTTCATGTTGATCAGAGTCCATACTGGGGAGAAACCTTATAAATGTGATGACTGTGGAAAGTCTTTTGTCCAGTCCTCCAATCTTCAATGTCATAGGAGAATCCATACTGGAGAGAAACATTATAAGTGTGATGAATGTGGAAAGTGCTTTATGCATGGCTCTTCTCTTCATGTTCATCATAGAATCCTTACTAGAGGTAAACTGCAGAAAAACTAAAAATGCATCAAGTCTTCTACCCATTGCTCTTCTATTAATGATCATCACAGAACTCATATCTGAGTCAAGACTTATGAATTTAAAGAATGTTAAAATTCATTTACCACATCCTCAACACTTCTTTATCTTTCTTAAACCCATACTGGAGAGAAACTTCACAAATATGAAGAATGTGGAAAATGAAGACATCAGACAACTCAATAGAAAGAAACTTGAAGAAATTCTATAATAATTATCAACTTTCTTTCAGTATCATATATTAATGCAATAAAATTTCCTTCTGAATTTGTGAAATAAACAAAACTTTGATCAATATTCATTCCTTAGACAGGACCACAAACATCACTTTACGAAGCCCTATACTTGATGTGAATTTGGAAGTGTTTATTCAGAAGTAGACCCTGTAATTACTAAATGCTTATTGAAAAATTAGCTATGCATATGGCTTTATGAAAACATTTATTCTCATTATTTATTGCTTGTGTTTGAAAACACTAAAGCGATAGCAATGTGAAACAGAAGAATTCTTGCTAATAGATGATTAATGACTGCAATACAAAGTCCAAGTAGTTACATAATACAATTTGTGAAAGATGATATTGACTTACATGTGATATCATTATATTCCAAGCCATTATTATATTCTCAATATTTTAACTTTTGAAGAGTGTATATTAATGATTGTTTTTAACCTCATATTAATTTCCTGTTTTTATGAGTACAAATAAATGTATTATACCTTTTGTTTATTTCTATTTTCCTTGTCAAGTTGAATCTTCATTTTTAAAAAAATGATGGCATTATGAAGATTAGCTATTTCAGAAATGTCAATTATAATAAAAACACATCATTAAAATTTAAACTGTGTTCTATAGAAAACTATAATGGTGGAAATAAACATATGCAAAGAACAATATTATAAGTCCAAGGGAAGGAGAGAAAGGATTGTTTTAAGTAAATTGTGTCTCTAGTTTCACAGTGAGATAAGATAATGCTTGATCCCCTTGATTCCTGCAATTCTTCTTCCCTCTCTTCTTGCTCATAGGAACTCACAGAGTTTTAACTAGCAACCAGGGAGCCTTCATGTGACCAAACTCAGCCTTCTACATATGTGTAACATGTTTGTAGTTTGTCTATTTGTGGAAGTAATAACACTGGGAGCAGGGTCTGTCCCTAAGGCTTTAGTTGGCTCTTTAGAGCCCATTCCTCTTACTGGATTGCTTTGCCTAACATAATTTCAAGGGGAGGGGCTTAGCATTAGAGCTAATTGATAGGTCATTCTTTGCTGATATGCATTGGAGGCTGCCCCTTTTTTTAACAGAAAGAGGGGGAGTGGATTGGGGTGTGGAGTGGAATTGGGTAAGGAATTGGAGAAAAGGAGGGAGGGGACAAGGAGGTCAGGATATAAAATAATTAATAAATTATTAAATTTGTAGAAGAATAACAGTACAAACACACAGACAAAAAAATTTTTGTACATTGACTACTGATAAGTCTCAGTGTAGGATAGTCATTCTTAACTTTCCTAATGCTGAGACATTTTAATATAGTTATTAATTTCTTGATGACCTTAAACTATAACATTATTTTCATTGCTCTTTAATAAGCATAATTTTGTTCATGTTATAAATTGTAATGTACATATCTGATATTACTGACAGTCTTTCAAGACCCCTGGTAAAGGGTCATTGCACCCACTAAAGGGACCATGACCCACAGGTTGAGAACTGTGGCTGTATGATTTCTATAAACTGATTATGTAGAGAGGTATGCATACAGGCAAAAATAAACAAGATGTAACTTATTCTTCAAATATTGTCAAGTGAAATTCAAGGTAGATACCTGATAACCTAGTATCTTTGAACACTTCTCAAAAATTGGCTAAATGACTCCTTAAGGAATCTATATAAATGCTTTGACAAATGCTAAAATGAGTGTTCTACTAAAGCAAATGTAAATGCTAAATCACTCTGGGAGCTGAATTCCTTTCATAAACTGTTTTGAGTATAATAATATAAAATAAAAATATCTATATGTCACAGAAAAATCTTCCACACCTTTAAACCTTCACAAATTATTCAGTTCATAGTGTAAGTAATGCAAATGCCAGTGTGATTCAATATAAATATGAGACACAGGATCTTTTCCTACAGAACTTAAAAATGGAATATATCACATATCTTCAACCACAATGATATTTTTTGAAGATTATTGTCACTCTTTAATCATTTAAAAGAATATTGTGGAGTATTATTTGAAAGAATATCTATACTTGATATTTCCTTAATATCATAAAACTTCACTGAATATTTCCTTAATCTTACTCTCTACCTCATATTGTAAAATACATCATGCTGATTTTAGCAATGACTGAGTGTCATATTAGAACTTAGAGGATTCCCAAGAGTTGAAAAAATTGTGTATGCATTACTAGAAATCAAACCACTCAAAAACTAACAATTGGAGGCATATTCATAACTCAGGCTGTATTTATTATGTAAGTAAATTTCTATTTTTAAATGTTTTAAGAAGCACATCTAGTGTGTTGTTTTCTTTGCCTATTATCCTTTATTTTGAGGCAAGGTTTGGTTGTTGTCAAAATGTAAGTGAATTTTTTTACTCTAAATAAGACTTCCACAATTGAAAACATTAACAGAAAATTCAATAAGTAAAAGAAATACTGAGTTATGTTACACAGAAAGATGATTCCAACAGAAAATTAAGTGCATGTGGTGTGTTCATGTGGGTCTAGGTAGCTGTGCATATACCTATATTATCATATGAAATCACATAAGATCATGATCATCGAAGAAAATCATCTCAAATGAAGAAAAGCTTATTTGAACTCTTGCCTGTGGTATTTCATCACAAGGCTACTTAGCTCAATTTCTGTTGTTACATCTTGATAGAGAATTTAATAGTTTTTGGAGCACATGGACAAAAGGTAACTCACCATGTAGAATCACTGAGATCTATGCCATCTGCATGGATTAAGCCTCTAATTAGCTTCTGAAGTTCTGATCTCATTATTAGTCCCCTCCTACTCACAACCACTCTCAACTGTCATAGAAAAGCAGAAAAGGGATCTGAAACACTTCTCTCAGGTTATACTACTTCCTTGATTTTGGGGACCCTCAATTCTGTCTGTTCTGTTTTATAGTTTTCTATTTTGTCTCCTTCAAGTTTGTCTCTATGTTCATAAATACATGATCATCTTGCTCTGACTATTATTATTTTAAAGGTTTGCCTAGCTTCTTCCAAATATTAAAGGGATGTTTGAGTAATTACTATGCAACTCATGTAGAAAACAAAGAGAAACTTCATATGTGTGCAGATTTCTATGTAGTGAATTCCAGTTCCATGGATTGGTCAGTTAATTGTATCATGGTAACTAATGAGAAAAATCAGTGGAGACTTTAGAGGTGAATTCATTGCCTTCATGCTTCTTGGAAACAAGCAACTAGATTTTTTTTTACCCAGTTGAAGAATTACTTTCATCTGAGACTACTCCACAGACACTGTCTGTTATCCTCCACGGGAGCCTCATTTTGCTTTGATTGTCTAACCCAAAGAAAGAGTGTGAGGATTCTTAATGCTTCTCAATGTCAGCCGCGCTCAGCCTCCCTTTGAAATGTCATCCTGTCACTGCTAGCTCTAGCAAGTCAATTTAACCATGCTGCCAGGTCTGTACTAAAGTCATTCATGATGCTGGTCAAATAACCTAGCTACCTGAGTGCAAGAAAGTAGAACCTACAATTTTGTCTGCCTCTAGTAGCTCATGTTGTTCTACATCTCTGTTCTGTTATAATACACAGAATTAGCTTTTTGATCCTGCCTTTCAATCTCTTATTTTGGTAAAAAGTATATGGGACTCTGCTTACTTTCAAACCCAAAATATTATTAGGAAGGTAAATTTTTTTTTTTTAAAGATTTATTTATTATGTATACAGAAGAGGGGTGCCAGATCTCATTACAGATGGTTGTGGGCCACCATGTGGTTGCTGGGAATTGAACTCAGGACCTCTGGAAGAACAGTCGGTGCTCTTAACGTCTGAGCCATCTCTCCAGCCCCAGGAAGGTAAAATTTTGAGATAAAAGTTTCCTGAGAGGATCCAGAGACAAGAGTAAAAGAGATGGCTTTTTCTCAGGTAAATGTATTATGTGTGGAGGTGGGACATGTTGTCTGTTCTCCTACAAAAGCTTCTTTTTCCAGGATCCCAAACCTTTAAATTATCCCTCAGTGTTTACAAGGCTTTCTTTTTCTGTTTTTGAACTGATTGTTAAGAGAAAGTCTTTAGAATTCATGTCTCATAAGTGTGTGCTCCTTTCTACTATGTTGTCACCTTTTTATTATTATTTTTATTTTTGTTATTTGTTGTGGTTTTTTTTTTTTTGGTTTTTTGAGACAGGGTTTCTCTGTGTAGCTTTGCGCCTTTCCTGGAACTCACTTGGTAGTCCAGGCTGGCCTCGAACTCACAGAGATCCGCCTGGCTCTGCCTCCCGAGTGCTGGGATTAATGTCGTGCGCCACCACCACCCGGCAATTTTGTTGTGTTTTTTTGAGACAGGGTTTCTCTGTGTAGCTTTGCTCCTTTTCCAGAACTCACTCTGTAGCCCAGGCTGGCCTCAAAGTCATAGAGATCCACCAAGCTCTGCCTTCTGAGGGCTGAGATTAAAGGCGTGTGCCATGCCATGTGGTTAGTTTTTAGCATAAATTCTCTGCATTAATGCATTATGTAACCTTTTGCTATAACAAAAACATGCATACACATGTCCTACTGAAAATGGAATTGAGTCATCTCTTATGAATGAGAAAGAAGCTATGTTCCATGATCCTTCTGCCCAGGTATCTATATGCTCAATATAGCCTGTTTCAAGAAAGAGGCACTATGAAAAAGGGTGGCATAGCTTTCTGTCAATGTATGATGATTAAAGTAGTAGTATTGCTATGAAAGACATACTGTGTTATATACTATGATGAGGTGTTTAAATGTAATACAAACTTCCAAAAGGAATTTGTCGGTCATAAGTTGGTGTGAAATTATCCTATCAGGTGAGTTTTCTTTTGTTTACTGTTCTGTTTTGTATTCAATCACTTCTCTTTGTAAACTACTAACCTCCTTGTGAACCTGTAATGACCTTCTGTTGTGCTGAGACCAGCAACCAATCTCTTCCCTGGAAGCT